AAGGGACTAACTTGAGGGCTGTTGGTGTGGTGGTAGCTGCCTTTTCAGATTCCTGTGGACTGTTGCTCTTTTTCAGGTTTGGGGCTCTGCAGGGCATTGCAGTGTTCCCTAAGCTAGGTGGATACTGTGATCTGCTACCCCGCTCCAGCCGTTTGAAGATGTGGGGGTCCAGAGGCAGGACATACAGGGCCTCCTGTACCTGGGAACCCTGGATTTACGCTGGCGGTACAGTGAGCGCCGTGGACAGAGTGCTGGAAGGGACAGTCTGTCAGCACACAGGTGCCGACTTCCTTGCTTGTGTCCCTGCTCAGGGGGCTTTTCCCCCTCAGCTAGCAGTCCCTCCGAGCTCTGGTTTCTCACCTGCACCTCTGTTGCATGATCCACAACACCCGTCACTCACCTGGTATCTCCAAACAAGCACTTCTGCTGTGTTTGCATCAGACTGAGCTGGTGTCGACACCCAATCTGTGGTGTCGACACCCCATCTTTAAAATGGTCCCCTAATAATTTCAGGCCGAAGCCACCTGAGCTCCCCTGGGTTGTTCACCGTGTGCTGTCAGCCTGGAAGCTGGGACATTGCTCAGAACGTGTGTCCTGGCCCCTGCTGCACTGGGAGCAGTCGCTTATGAACATGTACTTGGGGGCACACTCACCTGTTAGATGGCACTCACCTGTCACCAGCCGTTGCTCTTAGAAGGCGAGTAATATGTTCCTGCTGCCCATAGGATGGCAAAGCCACTTTAGACCAATGTGTACTCAGCCTTATTCTCCAAGAACACCTTGTGTCTAATGGTGGTTTTTTTTTTTTTTTAAAGGGCTTAATGAGCTCTTATTAAGTGTCTGGGCAGAGAGAGGTGTGTCTTTGTGTGCAGCAAGCACATTACCATTTTTCTTTCTACGTAAACCTTGCTAGACCTGGCCTGAACCTTGAAGGATGAAAGAACCAGAGGGTTGTTGTGTCAGCTGCCCAGCCTCAGCCCTACCATGCTGTCCCGAACGACTAGCTGTGTCACCTTTGACTTGCTCTGTCCAGGCTGAGTTGATGGAGTTACTCTCTAGGGTCACATGGAATTTCAGGTCTTTTAGTCACCTGGAGCAGTTTTACTGGCTTAAATTAGACGCACCAGCGTGTGTTCTAGCATTGCTTAAGAGAAACCAAAGACTGGAAGGATCAGAAATCTGTGTCTCTACCTTTTGGAACTTAAAAAAATCCTTCAGCATACACACTTTGGAGGTGAAAAGTAAAAACAACTCTCTCCAATCAGGATTCACCGGGAGAGGATTCTTTAAATTAGTCTTCATCATTTTATGGAAATGTCAGAAAATATTGTGGACACATGTGGAATTTCCAGTGCTCAGTTCTTGCAGAGGAGGGTGGAAAAACAATTCCATTTTAAGCACATCATATAGGTTGGAAAAACAGTGGCCCGCTCTCTCGGAGTTCCTGCGTAGCTGCCAGGGTTTGTTAACGGTCGCGTACCTGGCTTTGTAGCCGGGCCTGTGTTGGTTCGCGTTGTCTGCTGGGTGTTGATGTAGGGACTCCGTGGTGTTTTACTTCACTGGGCCATTGTCTGCAGAACTCCGAAGTTTACTTTCCTGTTCTGCTGGGAGTCTCCTTGTTTCTCTCCCGTCTGCGGCTACCCCGGGCTCCCCTCACCGTGCACCAGCCTTGTCAGCAAAGAACAGGAGTGTCTTGGGGAGATGGGGCTGGCGGCCCCTCCTGTGGGCACCGCAGCTAAAGCCCTTGGTGTGGGGCCAGGGCTTGTCGGTCTCTCAGATCCTTGGGGCTGCCTGGGAGGCGGCCAGCCAGTGAGCGGGCTGCTGCAGGGCGCCAGGTGCAGTGACTGACACGCCTTTTCCTAGACCATTTTTTCTTCCCTTCTCTCACCTCCATTCTTGCCTTGTGGAATCGGACATTTTTCTTTTTGGCTTTTAAAACAGCCCCGAAATAATTTCATTAATAAGTGAATAAACACTGTTTGGCTTCAGGAAAAACTTTAGATGGAAATACCAAGTAAAGTAGAAAGGAAACAGAAAACTACTACACAGACTCATGCTTTATTTTTAAAAAAGTCCTCGGCTGATTGAAATTGATCAGTTTCTCTGTGAGCTGACGCTTGTTCCTGGGCTGTGTACCCTAGACCTGCAGCTACAGAAGGCACTCTCCCCACGCTTTCAGGAGTGGCTGGATTCTTATCTTGGTAGAATTTAGGGAAATTGCCTGTGATGTGTTTGCAGAAGAGATGGCTTTTAAAAATACATGCCATGCTTTACCCTTTGTGGCTTTTTAATTTTGGTACGCCTGCGTACTTCCTAACATTTGCTTATGGGAGTCACTCAGTTCATGCCCTGCTTTGCTAGTTTATATACCAGATTACTTCAGGTGTTATGTTCCGTCATAGAGTCCAATTTAACATTTTCTTAGTGTGAAGCTGCTTGAGGAAGGAGGTGAATGCTCATTTAAATGTCAGCCTGTTGTTTTGGTCAAAGGAACAATAATTGATTTTTTAATTGCAGGCGAATAGTCCACAAGTATCTTGCTTATTCCCTCACTGAAGAGTCAAATCTTAAAGAGATGGCCTTGGAGGGTTTGTAAATTGAATCCGTGTGTGTGTGTTGGGCGGGGGGGCGCTTTTTCAGGGCTATCGGGCACAAGATAACAGATATGTTTAGCTCTAAACTACTTGTGCTCTGCCCCCATCCCCTTCCCAGCGCCTGCACTTTTCCTGGAGGTCCTTGTTGCTACAGAGCTAACAGCTCTGCCAGTGCTGAAAGCTTAGAGCCACCTTCCAAAGCCAGTAAGAGGAGACACAGCCATCTCTTCCGTCACCTAACCTTGGTGTATATTCTCTTTATTGAAAGGAAACAGCTGACTCTAGAAAATAACCATGTGAAAACATGTTTTCTTCCAGAGTCTCATTGATAATTTGTTGTAAATGGGCAAGGGGGAAGGGATGGGGCCAGCAGATTCAGCAGGTATTGGCCGTGGGGCTGCACTGAGCCACTCAAGCAGGATGGGGACCTCGGGATCCTTAGCAAAATTGGTTTACTTTGTGGCATCCATCTCCAAGGTGTCACAGATAGCTGTAAGCATCGCAGTGAAGGAAATAGAATACTTGGCATGATAAATCTAAAATACTGTTACTTGCGTTTAAAAAAATTTCAAAATGGCAGAATTGATATATGTGGGATTGAATGTGTAGACTTGACTTCTGAGAGTTCTTCAGAGTTATGAACGTGGTTGCATTTGATGTTTTTTCTTGGTGAATAAATACCTATGTCAAATTTAGCCAGGAAGCTAGGCAAGTAAACACACACACATTAAAGGCACAGACCTGTAAGGCTGTTCCAAGTGCTCGCAGATGTTCGCAGTGCTGTAGTCCTGCTTAGGTCTGAACTGTGAGGTTAAAGCTTTAACAACGGCTCTGTTTGGTTTTAGACTGGGCCACGGGTTTTATATTCTTGTTATGATTTGAGGCTACAAGCTGTTGGATGCTGTGAGTCATTCTTGTCTTCCTCCTCCCAGCCTTCTTCAAATGGTTCTCTTTTTTTAGAGCTGATTTTTTTTTTTTTTTTAAAGCAGTGATTTGGGGGATGAGTTGTAGCTTCCTTCTGAATTGCAGAGAGAATATACTGGGTCACCTTAGCTTTGATGTCGTATGTATGGACTGACTAGTTCAAATCCTAGTCATATTATCGAGATCATTTCTAGTTGTCATAATTACTCAGACACCTTTTTAAAAAAGCTAATTCTAGCTTGCAGTGACTTCATTTAGTTTTTCACGTCAGTGTTTATCCTGGGAATAGGGGACATTTCGTCGGCTGTAACATGGAGGGTGCTCCTGGTGACGTGACTGGTTTCTGGCCACTTTCCAGTGCCCTGGTGCTCTTCTCACCCTCCGGTCTCTCTCTCTATTCCTCTGCTTTATCCTTCTTTTGTGATTTTTTTGTGTGCGTGTGCCATACAGAGTTTATTTACCATTGTTGTCAGTGCTCTTTTCTTTCTGGTGAGAGGGTTAAAAACTTGTCATATCTCAAAAGAAATAATTGCACCCATTTGTTTCTGAGTATAATAAACAGGGCTATCAGAGAAGACAGGCAAATTGGGGGTCCCAGCCATGGGGTGGGGTACAGGAGCCAGTGTGACGTGGGACTGCCCTCGTCCCTTTGGGACCTACTTGTGGTATCACTTTCAATAAGCCCTTGAGACAAATGAGGTGGGTGAATGCCGATAGCGAGCTGTGGGAGTCAAAATTATAAGCAACCTTTTTTTGTTGTCGTTGTTGGGGGGGAGTTGCTATTTTTGAGTTCTGTTGGATTTTTTTTGCACTCTGTTTTTTGAATATTCTGTTGATATCTTGCAGAGCAAAGTGGGCTCCTGGTGCTGTGTGAATTGCAAGTTGCGAGAGCTACTTATGAATGTGCTCTGGGCCAGGAATGCAGGTCTGAAGAATCGGGAGAGAAAACTCTCCAAGCGAGGAGGAACGGAGGGACTCTGATTGGTAGTAGGAAAAACAGGTCTTTTTCTACTGGGCTGCTGTTTTAAATCATTTTTTTTCCCTTGCTTATTAGTTTGGAACCGTTTCTGTGTCCTAACGAAAAGATTGAAGAGCATGGGAGGGAGGGAGCCTCTGCAGTCAGACTTCTGGACACTCGGTCCTGTGCAGAGAGTGATTCCAGTCATCTTCTGACCAAACGTCTCATATATGTTGCTTGCCATATGTCAGGAGTTCATAAAGCAAATAAGGCTTTAAGGAGGTGAGAGGCCCTTAGTGAACTATCTTAAATTTCCCAGCAGTGTTTGTGAATTTGTTCTGGTCGCTCCTTGCGTGCACAGGGAGCCTCGTTCTTGATTTTGTCATCCTCAGGAAAAACAGGAGCATCTTTGAATCCTTGTTTATTCCCCAGTGCCCCTTCTCACCACGCTGGAATTCACTTCCCCATAAAGATGAAGATGGCATGGCTCTACCCTGACCATCTTCCAAGGAGGTACCAAGAGATGCTTCCTGGGCAAGATGGATTTTATAGGTCAGTTTATCTAAATTGAAAATGGAAATGTAAATTGTGTTATTAACTAACCTTATTGGAAGCATCTGGGTCTTCTTTATGAGTAAACGAATACAAATAGGGAACGATCTGTTACATCGCAAATAGAGCGTGGCCAGGTATGGCTGTGTCACAATCACTCGTATGCTGACAAATAGAGCTTATACGTCTCCGTGTAAGAATGTCAAGTGTATCTAAGAGCAGTTGCAAAGCCTGGTACTGTCAGTAGACAGGAACAGATGAAATCTTTGAGTTGGCCAGATGCTTTAGAAAGGACAGATTCACTTAGGATCTATCAATTTGAGGGGGCTGGGAATATTACACTGGGAATTGAAGCACAAAAATACATTTTGAACTTGGGGGTGACCTTTTTCTGTACTTCTTGAATCTCTTTGGGTCTTCCAATTCCTATTTGCAGGGATTGTGAGAGGATCTTGAGATTTCTCTGGGCTTAAGGTCTGATCCATCGAGAAGCCCCCTTCCTGCTTTTCGTACATCAGAGAGTGTGTCTAGGGCTCGGCTGGTCCCACTACTCACAGCATCGTCTTGGTAGCTTGCTTGTCCCTCCCAGCTTCAGTTTCCTCAGCTGTCAGCTGGGTTAATAACCCTTCCCACGGGGTGGTCACGAGGACCAGTAAGGCAGTGAGTGTCACAGTGTCTGCCTGCATAATATCTACTTCCGCCCTTGCCCTCCCAGTGCTCGGCCAAGCTCCCTCACTCCAGTTTGTCCAGGTGATTTGGGGTTACAATGTCTGTAAGAGCAGCCTTAGGAGAAGTGGGAGGAGGAGCCACCCCAGGCTCAGGCAGGTCATGGGGAGGCACTTTTGGTCTGCTGGGAGGGTCCACTTCCGAAGTTACCTGACCATCTACCATGGGCTGGGATGACTACAGAGCTGCAGTGCCTTTTTTTGAAAGATAAACTTGTTTCTTCCTGGTGGCCTCTTTGAGTCACTACCTCTGTGAGCCCCCTTTTTAGCCCCATTTACTTTTCAAGAGGAAAGCTGGGGAAGGACTTCCTAGCTTAGTTTCTGCTCCAGGTGTATCTAGGAAGGACGTCCTAGCTCAGGTTCTGCTCCAGGTGCTTCTGGAACTGACGTCCTATTTAGGTTCTAGTCCCAGCATACCTCGGGACCACGTTTGGATCTCCAATCAGAGTCATTCCCAAAGCCTGCTGGAGGAGCTGCTGGAGGAGCCGCTGGAGGAGCCGCTGGAGGAGCCGCTGGAGGAGCCGCTGGAGGAGCCGCTGGAGCAGCTGCTGGAGCAGCTGCTGGAACAGCTTCTGCAGCCGCTGGAGGAGCCGCTGGAGGAGCCGCTGGAGGAGCTGCTGGAGCAGCTGCTGGAGGAGCTGCTGGAGCAGCTGCTGGAACAGCTTCTGCAGTGTTCTCCTCCTCACCGTGCTGACTGACGGTGAAGTGCAGAACTCCGTGGCTGTGACTCTAGGACGTCTTCCCCTGGACGTGCGTGGCCTTCAGCCGTCAGTGTGTATAGAGCGAAGCTGAGCTGACACCCGTTCTCATGCCTGTGTCTGGTGACGTATGCACATGGATGTCGGCTGACAGACCACACAGGTGGGATGATGTGAGCCTAGGGCATTTCTGAGAGGCCAGACCACTTCCTACTCAGAATCCGTCTGTGGTGTGGCAGTGTGGTCTGAGGCCCTGTCCGCAGTTTGCTGAACACTGAGATGTCCTGGGGCTTTATTCTAACGAGCCCCTTGCATTCTTGTGGGTTAGCACCTTTGGGGTTGTGAGTGTGAATGAGATCTTTTTTTTATCTTTATTTAAATATAATAGACAATTAGTTGCTTGTATTTACATTGTGCAATTCAATACATTTTCTCCAATTATAGTTGGCATGCAATAATATACCAGTTTCAGTTGTATAGCATAGTGATCAGAGATCCCCATAACTCGCAAAGTGATCACCCTCCTAAATCTAGTACCCTTTTTCTCCCTTACATGTTTATTACGACATTATTAACCATCTTCCCCATGCTGCACTCTGCACCTCCATGTCTGTTCTGCCGCTTTTGTTGTTGTTGTTGATTTTCTTTAGATTTCACATGGACGTGAAATCATGCGATATCTGCCTTTCTCTATCTGCCCCACTTCATTTGGCACAATACCCTCTAGGTCCATCGAGGCAATATCTTTTTCCATCCCCTCCCTTTCAGTCTGTGTGTGTCTTTTAATCTGAAGTGAGCCTCTTGTAGGCAGCATATATAGTGGTCTTGTTTTCTTATCCATGCAGACACTCTATCTCTTGGTTGGAGCACTTAATTCTTTTCCATTTGAGGTACTTGTTGATAGGAATGTAGTTGTTACCAGTCTCCCCAAGGACATACCTGGATGTGGCTTGAGTGGGGCCATGAGTTGGGAGAGGCGGAGCTTCAGGGAATCCTCTGGGCTGAGTGACCTCTGTTATCCAGTTTGATGATGTCTCTGCTATGATGGCTCTCTGTCCTCACACTGGGAAGAGGGAAGACTCAACAGAGGAACAATGGATACCATCGGCACTTCTGTACAGAGCGAGTCTCACCTTAGCCCTCACTCCGACAACTCGGTGCCCCCTTAATCCTTGGTGCTCCCTGAGCAGCCAACCCATCGCTGGTGCTCAAAGTGAGCAGGTCTATCACCGCAACAGTTTGCTCACAGCCCCTTTAAGCGGCTT